TCTTTGATATCTGGAATGGGACTTCATTAATTTGCAGGCATTCTTAATGCACTGCATAAGGTCAGAGATTACTGGGTTCCCACAAATGAACTTTTCTTCCTCCATTTAGAAGGATTTAATGGAAAGTAATATAAATGTTTCTACTTAAGAACTGCTCCTGCTTGTTCATGGAGCCAAGTGCTGATCCCAGACCACCACCTTCTGGAATGCTGCAGAATCACAGGACCGTCTTGGAGACTCCTCTCTGCAGGAGTCTGAAAAGGACTGGAGACCAAGGGAGTGGTCAGAGGAAACGTCATTCACTGCACACTTGTCCTGCAGATTGCCAGACAGCTGCTAGTGAGTGCCATTCAAACACTCGTTACCTGGCTAGGAGAACCTTGGATCTAACCTGGAACGGACACTTTTTTTCCCCCCTTATGTTATCTTGTAGAATAAACAATAACAGAATTTCTTAAAGATAAATATAAAAGTGAAGATTTGCACAGAAATTTCTCTTTACCAGTGTAACACCATGAAAGCATCATGCCCCATCTCCAGCTCCCTGGTGCCACAGACAGGACAGACAGAGACCTGTGTACCCAGGACAGACACACCAGACACACCATGACTTCCCTGACTCAGCAGGTCTCCACACCCACGCCCTCTGCTCCTCCATAGGCATATCTGGCTCAAGCACTCTGCCAGGCTCATCAACCAGCCTTACACCATGCCAGAGGCACTGAATGCAGCTTTACACCTGCAATATCATGAGGAAGTTTTTGGAGGGTAACAAGAGAAAGCTAGAAGATGGTTAGGGTAATAAGCTCAGTGAGACACTCCCCACTCCTTCTGAAGTGGGCACAACAATCAAGTCTTAGAAAAAAGATTTAATTTGGTTTACTTAATTGTAATCAGATTATCCTTTGGTTAAACAATACCCAAAACCAGTAACTGTTTAACAGTCCATAGAGAGGACTTTCAAGAGTATTGGCTCGTTAATGAATTTGTTTCACAGGGTGCTGCTGATATCCCAATAAGTCACACCATAAGAGATGCCCTGATCCCATCAAAGTCATGGGCAAAAAGTCACATTGACTGAGCAGAGGATGTACTTGGCCTCCAAAAAAACAGGGAGCAAAGTAGAGTAGGTCCTCACTCTGTGAGCACCTCTAAGATACAGGTGTGACTTTATTCTCCTTTCTCTAGTTATTATCTGCTAATATTTCAAGGGAGGTTTTGTTCACTTAGAGCATCCTAGATCAGTTCCCACCAGCGAGCACAGCTCACTCCCTCTGCCTGTTGAGTGGTCTGACTTCTCCACACATCTGAGCTTGGTGCTGATCTTCCAGACAGAAGCAGATGGGGCTCAAAATCGTATGAGGAGTTAGTATTGTACTTTAAATAGTACACAGCGTTGTATTTTAAAAGCTTAACAACCAAATTATTACTAGTGGATTTCAAATAGAAACTGGAAATGAAGATTGATGGTATCCCTCTGTCAATTTTGGCTTCCGTTCCCTGGATTCCATGTTTACCAAGCAATACTGAGGGTGTGAACATTCAGGCTTGTGACACACCCATGAAGAAAGCAGGGAAGCACAATGTACTGCCGGAGCTGCTGCCTCTGCAGTGCTGGCTGCTGGCAGAGCGCCTTACAGACGGGGGCACTGCTGCTCCAGGCGCTTTGCAAGGCGAGAGGCTCATCCTTCCTCCAAAGCATTGGCTGTGTCATTTCGTCAAATGGATGCAAAACCCTTGCTCACTTGCCGGTGTCCTCCGCAGGGGCAAGAGAAGAGAAGATCTCCAAGCTGAGTCTCTCTCGTGAAGGCAATGTGGCACAGAGCAGGAGCTGGCAGCTGTAAGCACTCATTAGCTCTCAGCCTCTGCACTGTCAGTTTTCAGCCCTGCTCTGCACCCCAGTAAATAACATTTACACAGCACTTTAATATATGTTTTGACCACTGTGGTTTCACCACAGCTTTTGCTGTTCAGCTAATGAACAACAATTAGAAGGAGGAGAATCTGTTAATTCTACCCTACATACAGCAAAGTGCTGATGCAAATGTGGGCAAACAAACATGCAAAAAGAATGCCTGTGTTTCTGATACTCCCTCTTCATCAGTTTTCTGGACCACTAAAAACTTTCCAAAAAACCGAACTACTTCTGACAGAATAAAAAGTCAGAAATACTTTGCTTAAATTAAAGAATAGTTTAAATTAACAATAGCAAAAGTACAATCTTTATCTGCTGCCTATGCTAGCCTCTAAGTCTTTTGTGACTTTTTTATCCCTAGCCAGAGCTGCTTTCATAGGCACTGCACACAGGAGGCCATGAGGAATTTTGACACTTATTTCTTCTAAAGAAGAAATCGGGAAAGTCAGTGACTCAAGCCTCCCAAACCTCAGCTTTTTTGGCAGCATCTAAGCTGTGATATATCTACCATAGTTGAGGAACAGAACTGTGTTCACCTGGTGATCAGATCTACATGGGGAAAGGTGTTTTACTATAGCACTGGCCTCACTTCCCTTCTGATGGATGTAGAGGGGAGAAGATACCAGCTCTCAAACACACAAGACACCATGGTTTTCAGTGCATGACACCATGGCAGCTGTGGACACCAGTCTCAGAGGAGACACCAGGCTTTCACGTAGCTGTGAAGGCAAGCTAAGCCCCAGGCAAATGTGCACAGTGCTATAGGGAATATTGTGCCACACATGGGACACAGAAGGAATTAGCTGCCAAGTGTCTCTCCCCCAGATTCCCTGGCTGCATACCTGAGTGTGCCTCATTCCCAGGCTAATGTACTGCAAGAGTGAGACTGAACCAGTAATCCCCAAAGCCACAGCCTTCATCTCAGGAGCAGAATGAAGGGGCAGGGACTCAGTAACAGCAAATGGGCAGGTAAAACTATGAATATGTCATTGACTGAACTGGGTAGAGGAGGGCGGGGGATCCAGCAGCAGTGCCCAGGGTCAGAAATCCTGTGTACACAGAGGCCAAAGGGCCTCTTCTCACGTGCAGAAAGCAAAGGTCACTTTTGTGGTCTTTCACTAGGGGTAACAATTTGCAGGTCAAAATTCCTGACCAGAGAAATGTCTCTGTGCCTCCTCAATGAAGTCAGCAGCTGTGGCAGCTGATTGAACAGAGTCAATGTATTAGACTAGCCTAGACTGGACTTCACCTGCTGGTGCCACCCCTGGAGCCACCTTCCCACCATGGAGATGCCAGTTAGGAGCTGACAATTTGCCCATGCAAATGGTAATATCCTGCTCCCAGATTGCATAGACAGCACTTGCCATACAGTGGGTCCCTACTCAGTATAACAAGGTTGGCCTGAGACAAGGCAAACCACAAAACAATCAGCAGTAGAGAAAATAGAAACAGCCTGTCTCTGGATTCTCTGTCTTACCACATGCCTCTTCACATTTATCAGATCAGCAGATCACACTGCCACATTCTGGAGAGTTTCAGCTCTGGTGTTTAATTTCAAGCTGTTGAGTTTGTGTTGCTTCCTGGAACATGCAATCCTTTCCCAAACACATAGTTTGAATTTATGTTCAGAAGGAGGTGCTCAGGATGAGCTCCAGACACAACTCTTGTTGTATCCACATGTAGGATATGTCTCTAGGATATGCTGTAATAATAGGAATTGGTCAAAACCCTAATCAATGCTTGTAATCTAGTGTTCAAGGTAAATTTATTACTCTTTCTTTCACAGAAATAATGTAGCACAAAGCAAAGCTCATGAGGGTCCCCTCCCCTTAAAGTACAAGGTCTGAGTTCTCAACTTAGGAAGACAGAGGCTTGATCAAAAACAAAGTGCGAAGACAGTTTGGCAGATACTGGGTTTGAAGTTATGGACCCTGGGTCTGAGATGCCCTGTTACCACAGTTTAATCTAAGCCAGCCCCATGCAGCCCACAGTGGGATGCAGGAGAGAATTGAAGGAGTAAAAGTGAATTGACTCATGGGTTGAGTTAGAGACAGTTTAATAAAGAAAGTAAAAGCTACATTCACAAGCAAAGCAAATCAAGGGATTTATTCATCCCTTTCCATGGGCAAACAGGTGTGTTCAGCCATCCCCAGAACAAGAGGGCTCTAACAGACACAGCTGTGACTTGGGAAAACAAATGCCATCATTCTGAATGTCCCCTCCTTTCTCCTTCCTCCTTTCTCCTGCATCTTTATACACTGAGCATGCCACCATATGGAATGGGATAGTCATTTGTGTCACTGGTGGGCAGCTGCCCTGGCTGTGTCCCCTCCCGACTCCCTGTGACCCCTCCCAGGCTCCTCGCTAGTGGGACATAGTGAGGAGCAGAAAAGGCCTTGACACTGGGTGAGCACTGCTGAAGGAAAGGTAAAACATCGCTGTGTTACCAACACCGTTCCCAGCAAATCCGCACCTCAGCCCCATACCACTGCTCTGAAGAAAGTGAATTCTACCCCAGCCCAAACTAGCACAGCTGTGCACCGTGGATCTGCTGCACTGTGCTAACACACAGCGTCGTAGCTAACGCTCTCTGCTGCTGCCACAGCAGTTTGCCGTCAGTTGTTGTGCCTTCACTGTCCCTTAACTGGGTGTAACTCAGGGGTACCAAACTGAGGGAGGACGGCCCTGCGAGCTGTGCTCTCCGCGCGGGTGCTCGCTCAGGGGGTGCCTGAAGGCACCATGGGCCTGCCCGCGCTCAGGCACAGGAGGGGCGGGCAGCGCGCCTCAGGGCCCCGGTGGGCCCCGGTGAGCCCCGGCGGGCCCCGGTGAGCCCCGGCGGGTCCCGGTGAGTCCCGGGGAGCCGCGACCCCCGCCGGGGACGGGCGAGCGGCGGGCCCGGGCTAGGTCTGCACATGCTCCGTGTGCCAGCCCGGGCCGCTCGCACTGCCCTCGCTGGGCTGCGAGAGCTGCGGCACCGCCGAGCTGCTCGCCGGCTCTTGCACTCGCTGAAGACATGGCATTTTTCAGGACCTCAGATAGGCTTCCAGGAGCATCTTTTAAGATAGTCCATAACAGAATATAATGTTTCCATCAGGCTCTTGTCTTGGCAACAACCTGCAGCCGTAAAGCGTGTTTAATTCTCTGAGAGGAAGACTGGTGACAGCTATCGTTTCACTGTGTACTGTGAGATTCTATGAGATTCTACCCTGAGAACCCTGGAGGTGGCATTTGTCTGGTCTGGTTGTAAATAATGAGATAGATCACAATGGATTTCAGTTCCTCATCCGTGTTTGACCAGCACAAAGGTAAGTCACGTGCTACTAATTTCAAAATCCTCTGGTCCTCCAATGCGTCCCATGCAAATGTACTAAGATTACTTGACAGAATAAATAACATTAATTTTTGGGAAATATTAGGTTTATTTTGGTTTCACGTAAAGGAATTTCTTCCATCAATTTTAGACTGGATTGATATTTCAGTCTATTGCTACCGTGATTTCAAAAAATTAATTTTCAGCAGAATAGCAACAGTGTCTGGCTACTCTTATGGTTAGCACTGAGAAATGTATATATGTTTATCTTTATATTGTATTTGTCTTTTTGTGGTTATAGATATTAAAAACAGTTTCAGTTCTAGCAAACAGTTCGAGCAGTTTTAAATGGAGTAAAAAATTTAAGAACAGCTTATTTTTGTAAGTCTACACTAAAAGGACTAGAAGCTGACAAGTGAAACACTTTGCATTAGGAAATTTATCTGTATAGGTGAGTATTGCCATAGCTGCAAATTTAAGATATCACTAAAACTCCCAATGTAAAGATTTTCTACATTGTAGGGTTGCTATGGAAATACAAATGTCTCTTTCTTGTCTACTTTGAAGTTAAAATGTTACATTTCATGTCTTTATTTGTCAATACAAGCTTTTATGTCCTACGGCTTAATCCACTACAAGTGTAGCGACATTCCTTTTATGTTCCCAAAGCCAGACACTGTCATTGCTTGATTATGCGTGTTGCAACAAATTTCTCTTCTAAGTTGGCTTACCAAACAATATGTGTGCAGTGGCCACAGTTTCAAGTGCAGACCTGCAAAATATCCGAGCTGAGGTGGCCACACAGTCCCCACAACAAAGGGGCTGACAATGAAACAAAAATGAAAGCAGGAGGAAGACAAGGCACTGACTTTTGGGAAGCCGAGTGCTACAGGTTGTACTTCTGTGCTTTCCTATACTTCTTTGGTGAACCCAAAGTGAATACAGCCCATATAAAGTGGTGGGTTTATGGCTGCCCTTCAGCCACAGTAGCACTCAAAGCCTGAGCAGTCTTGGGAGGACTGGTCTACAGTAGCCCAGCTGGGGACCCCGTATAATGGGGGACAAGTGGGAAGTAAAACTGAGTGACAAGAGAGAAAAATCTATTACCAAAAAGTATAAAGGAGAAAGGGAAGTGCAGTGGTAAAAGGGTGATCTGTACTACAGGAAAAGAGACAGGTATTCCTAATCATGTGTGGATGACCTAAAGAGCATTTTTCCCAACAGGACAGAGGTGTGGGGCTGACTGAGCTTCTGCAGCTCCAAACAGCCATTCCAGCCTCTGCTTCTGGAGCACTATGAGTGTCCTCTGTGCCACATGCCAGTCCAGCAGGGCTCAGAGTGGGGGGGCAGAGGTAAAATCCTGCATGCTCAGTGCCATCAGGATGGCTGCCAGGGAGCCAGTGGAAGTGGTACCAGGAATGAGGCTGGGATATCACCAAGGCTGGAGAAGGCAAAGCCAAATCTCCAGATGGTTTAGGGGGCAGAAGGCAGTGCAGGAGACCTCGGACCCAAACCAGTTTATTCAGGTAGAAGGGATAGTGTTGGGAGACAACATCTACCTATACCTCCCCTTGCTCCTAATCTGCCCCCCCTTCTGCTGCCAGGCCACTCTCCACACTGATCCCATCCTAATTTCTGTCCAGCATCACCTGCAGCCTGTGTCATTCTCCACCTCCATCAGCTCCCCTGCCAGAAGGTCCCTTCACTATCCATTCATCACCTCTGCTGTGCCGTGCTGCAGGAATGCTTGCTCATTAGGTGCTTAGTGATTTACTGCGTGCCTTCCCGGGTGGCTGTGTGGGAGGTGGATGGGAAGCAGGAGCACAAAACATGCAGTAATGGGATACTGAGCTCAGTGGTTACTATGCAAAGTATACTCTGTTTAAAACTTACTGTGTAGAGTGGATTGTGTCTAAATACCATCTTACTGTGTTGGTACATTATTGATTTAAGCAGGTATCATTTTTTTTAGCAAAGAGAAGGGAAATGTCTTTCATTGCAGCAATTTATAACAATGGAAGAATACAATCTATCTTTCAAACACACTAAATTTCTCTCTCTTGGTCAAAAAAAAAAATCAACTCTCCACACAAACCCTTTTTTCTCCATCCCACACATCAGAAGATTCTCCCAACTATACATAAAAATAAATCCCCAGCATTCCAAGTCTGAAAATGATACTGTCTCTTTGCAATTCTTTTGCTCAATAATATCTCATAACACATACAATAGTAACAGGAATGTGGGACTTACAGAAGGCAAACAGCACCAGAAACCCCTCCCCTCCTAATATTGCTTGGTGCCATTTAAATAAATGTCTGCTGTTCCTGATTTCAAATATTTACCAAATAAACAGAGAAGCCAGACAAAGGCCAGTACTGGTGCATGCACTGCCAGGCACCCACAGGGATTATTACTTTGTTGAGTGTTCAATAAAAATGCAGTAGTAGAGAGTAAGTTACACTTTTCAAAAACTGCCCCTCCCAATGCCCCTGGATGCTGATGTGCTGAAAACCAATAAACTACACAGTATTGTGTCCTGACAGCCAGGTGTAGGAAGTCATAAATGGCCTTTGGCCAGTGGTGGAGACAAGAGGGATTCTGAGAGAGAGGGTAATAAATTACATGCATAAAGGGTTCTTTTTCACAATGAACGTGAATTATCCTATTATTCTGTCTTCAGTTTTTAATATCTTGTGTTTAGCAAGTCCAAAATCAATCATTGTCATGTATGTGTACATGAGCATGTACACCAAGCTCCAGCAAATTTATATAAAACTTAAAAATCCAATGTGCTAGAAAGCATGCACTTACACACATCTAATGTGCACTTTGTAGAACAACAAATCAGCCAACCTCACAAATCATGTAAAACATGCACTCTTCATGGTACATCAGAGGAGAATTAAGAAGGAGAATTAAGGTAATGAAAAGCACAATTTCACTGCTCTGAAGCCTCTAATAATTATCTTTTTATATACTCTCTTTTTTGATCAAAAGAAAACTACTTTGCCTTGAAGAAATTATACAGTCTTAAAACACTGCAGGTTATTTCGGATAGATTGGTGTTTAACTTTGATTGTTTCTGAGGATTTTAGCACCACCCTCTGTCGTTTAATCTTTTCTTCCAGACCTTTCTACACCACTACTGTCAGCCTGCAGTTTCTCCCCTGCCTTTCTCTATACACAAGCATTGAAATGGATCTTCTGCCTTTCTGAATGTGACTGACAGCTTCCTTTCACCAGTATCACAGCAATTCTCTAAAATGTAAAATGTACTTGAAATCGGACCATACTTAGTGGCATTTCTTGAACTGCAGAATAGGAATGGAGTAACTGTAACACATTAGAAGGTGAAGACTCAGGCATTTGGTTGTTCACAATCCCTTTCTGCCACATGGTGCTTGTGACCCAGCCACAGCAAAGCCCGCTGCAGGGTAAGCTCACAGAGGGTGGGACACAAGCACTCAGTACTTCACTGTTGCCTTCTGCAAAATGCCCACTCTCTGAACCATTCCTCTTCTGACCAGGAAAATGTCTTCAAAAGTAAATGTCCCACTGGCTTTAAGCTGGAGGAAGATGAAGTGGTCATGTTGTTCACCTGGAGCCAAGTGCGTCCAGCACAAATGGCATCCAAGCTCTCCCAGCATTTTCTGCTCTCTGTCATGTGAAGCATCAGAGGACCATTTATCTGTCTTCCTTCTCACTCCCCCTCCACAATCACACAGGTCAAGACATGCCACTTGAAATTGTGTCACCCTACAGAAATGGAATTCATGTCAGTCATCTTTATTCAGATCCCAACAGGAACGCTCATCCATTCCTCCTGGCCCAGGCTCCCAGGCAGGCTGACAGCCTGCTCCACCTGTCTCTCCTTGCTCTGGCGGATCGGACTTGTGGGTGGGGAAGTGTAAATCTTTATGGTTTCATGCCACCATCCTTTAACAGGAATGGAGCCTGTGTTCTGCAAGAAGAGGCAGGGGCAAAACTTCATTCCATTCATTTTTCCATCCATCCATCCATCCATCCATCCATCCATCCATCCATCCATCCATCCATCCATCCATCCATCCATCCACAGTTTTACTTCCCCTCCTTATGCAAAAGGATAATAAGCTCTGGGGAAAGCAGACTGAGCCCAGCAGAAGCAAAGGGGAAGTGTCTTGGTTTTACCTGGAGGAGAAAGGGCAGAGATGTTCAGAGATGCACATGAAGGAGTGCACCTTTGTCCTCATCTTCCTGCCACAGCACCCTCCAGGTAAGCAACTGCTCTGCTCAGGAGATGGAGATTTCCCTTTGGTGGCTAGATTTCTCTTCTCCTGACTCTCAACAGGAATACTTAACAGTACCTACAAGGCAAAAAAAATAGTACAAAATTTACATGTGTAATGTATCAAAGGAGGTGAGGGCCCCTTTGATTCACTGCCTGCCTCACTACATCTCACAGTTTCTTTCCCAGTGCTTGCAGCATTCTCTCTGTACCACACCCACACAGCACCTGCACAGCTGTACATGACAGCAGCCGTGAGAGGAGCCATGCTCAGGGCTGGCACCACCCTCTCTGGGTGTACCTCCAGAGACTGGAGGACAAGAGGAGCAACACAAGCTACCAACCACTCAGACCCGAGCTTGTCATTAACATGTTTTTGCTGAGTGTACCGATTGTGGGAGGCATCTTCAGGTCTGACATAATAAGGAAATATTACTAACTGAACCAGTGGTGAAGTCACTTCTTCACATACTGATGGTGACTCTCCAGCAGCAATGACTCCTCATCTCTCTGGATTTCCCAGGCCCACAGGACAAACCTCCTGAGCCAAATGAACAATGAGCCTCAGCAACAGACCCCTCAACAGAATAAAAATCAAGTTAACATTTTTATTCACAAACTTTAAGAAGTATGTAATTTAAAATACCAGTTAAGAAAGAAAATAAATTAGATTCTCTTTAACTGAGGAGAAATAGAGAGAGAATCTGTGGCAAAGGCAGATTAACATCAGCTTTTTAATTTTCCCAGAGTTCCAGTTTTGACAGACTAACCCATTGCAGGGTGAGAGCAGATTGTGTTTCCATAGCAGCCAAATTTTGAAGTCCAGAGAACTGATTGCACCCAGTGAGAGAAGATCACGAGCAGAATTAGGCTAGACTGTGAAGTCCAGCATAGAGCTCATGTAAGTTCATCTGATACAACATCTGATCACAACATGAGTAGTGTGGCTAATACTTTACAACATTATTTATAGATCTTTTATCACTTAAAAAATATAAATAGTCATACTATCTCCAAAAGTTTGACAGGACAGATAAATCACCAGTCACTTAATCTGTCATCAGATTATCTTTGATCAACTCTCTAGTGTGACTTAGGCATTTTCTCCAGCTATCAAGCTAGTGGAGGGGCTGGACAAGTGTTAGGTTTTATAGCTCTGACCCTGTCCTGGTTTAGTCTGGAATACAGTTGCTTTTCTTCTTAGCAGCCAATACAGTGCTGTATTTTGCATTTAGTATGAGGCTAATGTTGAAAACACAGTGCTGTTTTAGTTGTTCGTAGTTAGTGCTCACACTAAATCCAGGACATTTCAGTGTCCCATGCTCTGCATTGCTCAGGTGCCCCAGAGGCTGGGGGAGCATGGCCAGGAGACCTGACTCGACCTGGCCAAAGGAATGTGCCATACACAGACCAGCATGGCCAGGATGTGAGCTGGGGGAGCTGCAGCATGACAGGCTGGGCACCAGTGAGCAGCTGGCGAGCAACTGTGTTGTGCATCACTTGCCTTTCTTGGGTTTTATTCATCTGTTTCTCTCCTTTTATTACAATTATTAATGATGTTGTTGTGGTGGTTGTGGTGATGATGATGATGATGATGTGTTATTTCAATTATTGAACTGTTCTTACTTTAACCCAATAACTGTACCATTTTCTGATTCTCCTTCCCACCCCACAGGGGTCAGGGCAGTGACTGAACATTGGGGGCATCTGAGGTTAAACCCCAACAGACCCTCAGCCATTGTGAACAGTACAGCTTGCTGCAGCTGTACTTATTTTTGAGTTAATAGGGATAAGAAACATGAGACTGTTTCTGACCAACAATAAATATCTAGGCATTTTACCATTACATCAGATTTGACCCTGCACCCAAAAATCTACTCTTTTGACTCCTTGAGTTAAGAGGTTAATAATCCACTTGAAGCCAAAGGAGGTGCATGCATGTAGAGCATGACATGACAAGTCTGAAAGGAAGTGAAAAGGAAAGAAGCAAAGAGAATCTTATTTCTTTAGAAAGAAAAGTCTGAGGAATGTTCCAGAACAGGTCCTGCAAGGCATCTGCTTTAAATAATAACTCACACTGTAGCTGCCAAACAAAATAAACCTCTCCTGGGTTCCAAGAAATAGTCCACTTTTCCTTTTTGTAGGAATTATCAACACAAACCATTGCTGCCAGAAGTTTACTCTCCTGAGAAGAGAATTCCCTTGGATATTACAGGGAAGTGAAAAGCCTTAGTCTTCTGACTGGTACAAGGATAACACTGAAATTGAAAACACCTGAGTCCTGATTTCATCCTATCTCATAAAAGTGCAGCCAGAAATATTACGAGCTAGTTCAGTTATTACATTTTTTTTCAAGTCATGTTACGTTAGTATGATTTCTTACAAGTGGAAACTTTCCAGAGTTTTTCTTAAGTACTTTCAGTGTCTATGTTTGAAAGTTTTTGGAAGAAGTTATGATGAAAACCAATTTTCAGATGACTAACGAAAACCACAGTGCTGTTTAGATACACTTTGTTCCACCCCAAGTTACACCGTCATTTAAACTCAGTGAGACAAGTGTCATTATTTTTCCTGTTTATCATTTGTGCTTGCTCTCTGTTTGCTCATGGATGTGCTCCTTGTCTGCAGGTGATGCAGCAGAAGAGATGGACCTGGCTGTGGTTTACCAAGCGGCAGCTAACGGCGATGTGAACACCCTGACTGCAGTGATCCGAGAGGATCCTTCCATCCTGGAGTCTTGTGACAGAGAGGGTAAATGAAGGCCCAGCTTGTTCTCAGGAGATCTGTGGCTTCAGCTTGCAAATTAAACTTTCCATTTTTTTATTCTGATTTTTTAGTTCAGAAAATTATATTTAGTAGCAGAATATGGGAAATTTGAGTTATTCCTTGGAACATCCACTGGGAATACACAGTTTGGATAATTCCTTCCCCCTGTAATTGTAAGATATTTTTATATGATTACAAATAAGCTGTTTTGCTATGATTAGACAGTCCTTTACCATTTATTTAATTTATCTTATTTAGGGGTATGCTGAGAAACTGCTGACATTTCAGGGGAAGAATATTTTTACCAATGCCAAGTGACATATATTCTGGACATCTCTAAAACAGAGGTTATAGTATGTGTACAATTTCAATGGTTTGGTCAAGTAATTTTTTTGCCAAAGGATACAATGTGCAATTATCTAAATTATCTATTTTATCTGTCAGGCTGTGCTCAGTGTGTTATTTCAATTACTGAACTGTTCTTACTTTAACCCAATAACTTTACCATTTTCTGATTCTCCTTCCCACCCCACAGGGGTCAGGGCAGTGACTGAACACTGTGTTCCAGTTACTATTTAATGTTACTACAAATTATTGTACATTGGCTGGGTTTTATATGCATCTATTCCCAAAGTGAGTAAGAACCACAGATCTCTGGAAGCTGTTCTCAAGAACAACTTTTTTTGTCAGAAGTATTTTTTTAATTGCAGTTTCTTATAAGGGGTCCATATGAACACTGTCTTTTCTAATCTTTAACAGCTTTCACCAAGCTACCAATTTTTCATATACTTTAAACCAGGCATTCTAACTGATATCTTTAAAACATCTACTGGTTAGTCGAGAAAATTTACTCAAGACAAAATGGTCCCTGTCCACTCGTTAATGGGAGGAAGACTAGGTGTGAATGGTGGGTGGAGTAGGAGGAGATGGACTGGCCAGGAGTACTTCAGCTCTGGAACTAACTTGTCTCCTAGGTTGTCCATGCAAATGTAACTAAAGAACAGTACTCCAGCAAAAAACATACAGCTCATATCCTGCACATTTTTTAGGCTCTGCATGACCTCAGGTTGAGTAACACATTTCCTCAGCAATTTCATTGAGTTCAGTAAGATTAATTATTCTTCAACTATAGATGAAGTTTCTAGTAGTCTTATAGTTTCTAATACTCATGTTTATTCCCAGCCTAGTAATTTTAAAATGCTTTGTCAGATTCTGCAGGAAAATCTCCTGCTGTTTTTCAACAGTTAACAGAATGGAAGGAAGAGGGAGCAATTAAATTGTACAATACTTCATGAAGAAATTAGAGTATTAGGTTTAAAAGGAGATTTCAGGCGTTTTTCAAAATGGAAAAATTTTGGAGAATATTTAAAAGTTCTTATAAAAACAGGAAATAAAATATCCTAGAGCAAATCCAGACTTCAAATTAAGTTGTTATCTGCACAAAGGGCCAACTTTTATACCTATGCAAGGGAAACAGCTTGATTTTGTAAGTCTTTTGAATATACAGACATAATGAAGCTGGGGTTTGAGAAAATTAGACAAGCACCATCTGGTTACTAGTCATTCTGAAGGATATCAGCCTCCAAAATGGTGTACAAAGCCAAAAGTTAATTTTGGGAACTTATCAACAGAAAAGCACTTTTCCCTCCAGAAGCAGAGTTAATGAGGCAAAGCTTCTGCTAATATAGTCATGCTCTTTTTAAAACCAGCAGTCAGCAACTGTCATAGAAATTACTTCCTGACTAAAAAAAGCTGAGTACAACTATTAGACAGTTGTCAGAGAAAGGATTTGTTAGCTTGCCAGTGTTAAGATTAGAAAATAAGAGACTATATCTTATAGACATGACACAATAAATGGTAAAATAAATTTGGCTTTCTTCCCCAGGTTGCACACCTTTGATGCATGCTGTGTCAGGACGCCAGGTTGACACAGTGAAGCTTCTGTTGAAGATGGGAGCTAATATTAATACTCAAGATGCTTGTGGACGTACCAGTTTATCTCTGGCAACTTATTTGGTACCAAGACTTGGGGAACAAGGATGGAGTGAAGGGAGTAAATGTGCAGACCAAATAAGATTTCTGCTTATACTACAGGAAGAAAAAAAAAGCACAAAACGTTTGGTTCTAGACAACAGTGGAATTGGTTTTGAAACTTAACTACAATGCAAAGCTGAGCAGTGATTATTACAAGAGGATCAGGACTCCTGTCAGACACTCCTGTCAGAGTCTCCTTTCTCTTTTGGCTTATAAAATTGGTGCATGATATGAGGATCTCACAAGAAAATTGCTTTTTTTGTACACTAAAAGTCCCCTCTTGTTGTTATTAGGCAGATTGACTTCTCCCTCTTGCATAGCCAGCATTAGATATTTATGCTCTAGTGAGGGCTTTCCTGTCTCAAGCTCTGGTGATCAGCAGGCAAGTGTTACTGCACGCTGTATGAGCCAGGCCATTGCTTCTTTTCACTGTGGTGCTGGACTTGGGATGGCCAGGTTGAGGACTGAAGTTCTAGATGCTGCCGGTGCTGGTGCACTTGCTCAAATCATAAACAATCCAGCCCCTGATGTTCAGTCTACCTGCAAATTGCAGGAGGGGGCAGACATCCCACTGAGACATTTGGGAAAGAATTGTACTTAAGAATCTGTCTGAACTGAAGCAACAATAGTTTTTTTCTCCTTAGTCTTCTACTTCTTGCAGGAGGTAATTCAGGTTTCAGAGAGAAAGTGGGGACCAAGTTAGCCGAGCAGACTGGGTTTCCATTATTAATTGGACAGAAAGGAGGAAGGAGTGTGCAGCCGTGGCTGCACAGTATGAGTTAAGCTGGATGACTGCCAGCTCATTTAAACAGACACTGTGGCAGCCTAATTAAATGACAACCCTTGCCCATAGTTTCTTCCTGAAAATTTAGGACAAAAACAATGTTCCTGCTTAGCTATGCAATATTCAGCCAGAAAATAAGTGTAGAAAATAACAAAACAGTCAGTCTCATCCAGTGCAAGGAGCATGCCCCACTTACTTGACAACAAACATTTCCTCTGCAAGATATTTTAAAAAAATCCCATAATAAGTGTCACGCTTCTTTTTTCCTTCCTCTTTTCCCGGAGGGGAAAAAATATTCTTTGGAAAAAAAGAAATTACTGGAAAAGATTTAAACCACCCAGGCTTCTAAGTTTCCATTTCTGTTTCTGTGAGGGATATAACAAGAGGTCCAGAGAGACTTCTGCTGTGATGTCTGTCCAGACAAATGGATTCAGGAGCATTGCACAGTCAAGACTGTGTGTGGCATTTGGAGGTCTTGTACTTCCACCAAGAGCTCCAGCAGGGGTGTTCTGATCCTACCATTCCACACATTTTCCCCAGAAATGCTCGTAATGCCAATCCAAAATAGCTCATACAAGAGGGAATGGTCTTTGTCAATTGTCTGCTGAAGTTTTAACAAAGCACTTAAATTCATGCTTGGTTTTCTTCAGATATAAGTATATGCTGAAAGATTTATGCAGTCACAACCAGACTGTTTACTTGCTTTTATGTTGAGGTGATCAATAGAAGGTTTTAGTCCAAGAACTGATTCATCCCATCTGTTTTGGTGCTATTTTCAGTGTAACACTGCCACTAGTACAAACTTCTGCAACAACATTTTATAAGGCCACACTCTAAGGCTTTTTACCATTGATTTGCCATCTTTGCCAAAATCTCACAAACAAAATCTCACTGAGATTGAGTGCTCATGTTCCTGGTTTAATCCAGCATGATTGAATTCACATACAAGAATATGTGCAGCATCTGCTAGTGATAGAGGAATTAGCAGGTTTTTAATCACTGTTAGTGCTTGCCACAGATGCAGGGGGAAAAGAAACAAATCAAAAAACAAAGAAACAAAAAATACAGTGTAAATGAAACACCTCATCAGAGAAATGAACAACTGAGGTAGTTTGAGACCCAGACTCCAAAGCAGAACTACTCTCAGTTCTGAGAAACCTCTACTGAGGAAAAAAATTCCAGTTTCTCTGTTAACAGAAATGGCTACAGTCACATGTGAACCCCAGCACCAACAAGAAAAGATCTGGCCTTATACTTTTCACTTTCCTCTTTGATATGCTCCAATTTCTTTTTTAGGGCTGGCTGGAAGGCTGTGTCAGCCTGCTCAGGAATGGTGCTAAGCAGAACATACCTGACAAGAACGGGAGGTTGCCACTACATGCTGCCACCGCAGAGCCTGATGTGAGGTATGTGCCTGGCTCCCCAAGAAGAGCCCACAGCAGGAATAATAGTTGTGACAGCTACACTTGTGACCTGTGTCTTTGTTTAGTGGTTACTGTGAAGGGGGTAGAGAGGAGGAAAAACATTGTGCAATACTTGTGTACCAGAGATTGATGGCCGAGAGAAGCATGTTTTAATATCGCAATAGCTGGAGGAGGGAAAATAATTAGAAGAGAGATTGAAACCCTACGTTTCCCCTGCCCAACTACCTTTCTGTCCTACCACATGAAATAGTACAAGACTCCTTCTCTGGACTTCTCCTCTGAGCAGCATGGCAAATCTGAGAAAAGTTTTCCACAAGACAACCTCTCTGAAAATCCCCAACCCTAAAGGAGAAGTTAAGGACTGGTGGTCTGGCTCATTTTTAAGTACTTTTACCGAAGGTAGAGTAACAGCTACAGAGTGGCTTCACAGAACTCTTAAGAAAGATTCTCTTTTTCTGATTCCAGCCTGTGACAATAGGACAGTTTAATAAATTTTGATTTGTATATCTGAATAAATTCACTGAAAAAAGTCCCCTAAGTAAGTCATGCCTGAAGGTGTAGACAGACATTAGAAACAGGTAAAATATTCAGTACATGCAATATGTTCATGTGACTTCATCACTGAGTCCATAATTTTGTTGCTGTAGCTATATCAGACCGGGCCAGACATCTGGCCACTTCTGCTGGTCTTGTTCTCCAGCCTTTTTTAACAGCTTTTTTCATTTTCCACATTGTCTTTGCTTTTCATGCATCACTTGGAGAAAATAATTTGAGGTTTCTGCAGAAGAAATGTCCCTATCATTAAACAAAACCCACACAAGAAAGAAGACAATGTCTGTATAACACCACACATGTTGCTACTTGAAAGGGAACACTAATCTCCTCTACCAGGAGCACACTAGGTCCCCTGAATGTTTTTCACATTCCCCAAGGATACAGACAGACCCTTCTTTGCTCTGCACAGTTTTCTTTTTCCTCTGTCTTCCCACTGAGTTCGCTCCATGCCCAGACACAGGCCTGGAACACTGAGCAGAGGTTTTTCCATCATGGTCATTTTCAGTGCCTTGTCATCCTATGTCATTGCCAAAAGAGAATATGCAATGGCCAGTTGTGAAATGCTTTTGCAGCTAAATCTGAAAGCTAGCAGTCTGCTGCTACAACCTCACATGCTGAAGGCAGCATGGAAAGACAAGAGACAGTTAATATATTGATTTGATAATTGATTTATATGCTCCAGTGCATTCCACAGAGCCTAACAGGCAAGGTGGAAAGAGAATTCTTTCCTGATCTATGCCTTTAAGAGTAGTTAGCAGAGAAACCTCAGCTGCTTGGTTGTATATCTACGTATTTAAATGTAGCACTTATGTTGCCATAGTGCTCTAATGGTGTAACTGAGTCTAAGTTTGTTCATGATAAACACTCTAGTCAAATAATTAGATTTCTTTCACATACAGTGGCGTCATTGATCATATCAGGAGTTGAACCACAGAGTCCTGTATCAGATTATGAAACTGTGTGATAAATGGTTTTACAAGCATACTATGGTTATCTCACTTCGGTTTTCCTCTCTAGCTGGTATTTACCAAGACATGTTTTCATACACGGAATTTCTGAGATTCTGAGTCATTTTGCTAAATGACAACATAATTTTTCTTAACTTTTACAAACTTCTACCCAACCACTCACAACAATCATAGTGTCATTCTTTTCAGATTTCCTGCAATATGACTCCATTTAGAAACGGAGATGTGACACCTCTTTTCTACAAGAATTTGTATCCATATGCAAATGGATTTGAAGTCAAAGCAAAATCCCTATGCTGGGATCTGCCCAATCATCACCCTTTAGGGATTCTACTTTTAAAAAATCCTAAATTTCAACTTTCAACACCTGAGGATGATATTACCTATAGATAAGATTTCCACTTGCAGAATTGTCAAAATCATCCCTAAGCAACTGTAAATGTCTTCTTTTGAATATTTTATGTAGCTAGTTCTTTATTACCAGCAGAGAAGAACAAAGTTGACATGAAACGTTAATCTGATGCACACACATGAGCACAGTTCAATCCAGAAAATACACTAGAAGTGGTTGAAGATAAAAAGTAGCAAAATATTTTTATTCAGTCTCCTCTGCATAGAAATAAATTCAGGGTTTTATACATTTTTTTCTGTGTTATCTTTACATTTATCAAATTTCCTTCCTTTATACTTCATTATTTTTTATTTTTCTTGCTAAACAGTATGTCTTCTTCATGTCCATGTTCTGAAGGTTTCTACCAAATTCACCCTTTTAGATGAGCCATAAGTTTGCACACTAAACCACTGAGGATATATCCTTCATTTTGCTATAATCCTAAGAACTGCACATTCATATTAGGATTGGCTTTGCTGCAGCATGTGAATGGAAGGAGTTTTTAATTTTCGTGGTCCAGCCACGTACATGATCCAAACAATTAGCATCCTGCTATAGAACACAGCCAGCTTTGCCAAACCTGTAGTGATTTCAGAACATCTTCACAAGATAGCAAAAGGAAAAGAAGGTGTTAAAACATTATGGTGCTTGAATAATATTTCATATAACTACTTTAGTTTTCCCTCCACCAGACAGGATTGCTTGTAGTCCAATATTCTATAAAATGTGAACCTATGCATTGCTATATTTTATGCCATAATAATGGCCCTTTTCCAGCAGACATTCTGTATGGCTTTATAAAATATTAGGGTTTGTGTGTGTAAACATTCAGCAAGCATGCATCTACTCACATATGCACACAAATGTGTACACTGCATCACATTACTCCGAGAGTCAAATAGAGTGAAAAATCCTTACAGAAGCTGGCATCTCTGTTACTTAGGACATTATAAAATATGCTGGCCGCAAATTTCTAAGCTACCAAAACCTGCACACATGTACAGTATTTTACATTCTGGTTCTAGCCCAGCAGTCACTCTGAGTGGATCTTCTTTTAATTCCAAGCTCTAAACTTTTGTTGTTACCATAAGCCATAAAGTCCAATTTGTTTTGCTCATATGACAAAGCTCAAAGCTAAGATTCTTACCTGTGCCAATCACTAATACTGATTTTTCATGAAATTGCACATTTTGTTTTTAAAAAACTGTCGGTTTTTCAAGTTTAGTCAGGAGTACAGCACACTGATTATATCATTGCTTCCACAGGCTTCTGAGCTTGCTCCTGCAGCAGTCAAATCTTAGTGAAATTAATCACCAGGACAATGAGGTGAGTGAGCTTGTGCTACAAATCACAGTCCTTCGCACTGGAAGCATAGAACCGTTAAATTTTACAATAAGGCTAAGTCAAAAATTTCTATAATGCTTTTGCTAAACTCTGCAAAGTATTATCTCATTCTTCTTTCTATGTACTATGCACCTGTAGGCTAATAAAGTTTCTCTCTATTGAGGCAGCTATGAGGTACCTTGAATCCATCTCTTAAATTATTTGTCAAGACAAGAATTTCCCTTTATTCTTCTGAAGTTAGACACTGGACCAAGTCTTCACCTTTACCAATCCTAAGTGTTCAAGGCCAGGCTGGATGGAGCTCTGAGCAACCTAGTCTAGTGGCAGATGTCTCTGCCCATGGCAGCCAGGTTGGAACCAGATAATATTTAAGATCCCTTCCAACCCAAACTATTCTATTATTCAATGATTCCTTGATCCCACCATTCAACTCCTGTTCTCAAGAAAAGTATCAGAGAGCTGGCATTACACAGAATGCACAAAAATTTGTGCTGTTTTCTTCCATGTGGAGTTGTGTCCTGCATGTATATACATTGTACATAGGAAAGAGTTAACTTCCCACATGTTTTTCTCCAAATAGAGAAGTCAAGACACAAGAGAAATTCTGAGTGTCATTTCATATGTTTCTGTTCATTTTGACAGTTGCTCAAGGATGTGTCTCTTTTCCACAGTCAGAATGGCCAGAGGGCTGTATATTTTTCCTCTTTCTTATCCACTGAAAGGTTTGCAGACCCTGCTCACAACACTCTAAATCAGACACATGCATTGTCTTGATGTAGAACTATGTTACTAATTATTTGCATGGAATGGTGGATCATCATTTCAAACCAGAATATTTTGCTGTAATGCACTGCTACATGCAATTTGGAACTTTTAGTCCATCTCATTGTCATTTGGCACTGACAATATATTTGTTCAAGTGTCAGTATTATGCCCTGAATACTCATGTTTTCTGAAAAATGTGGATCCTAATAAAGGATTGCAGCTAACAGAACTGTTCTCTTGGCATAAGTAAAACACTTCAGTTTTCCCATTTGACGCTTGAGAAAATCACCCTGATGAATGCATGAACACATAAACAATAAGAAATACATCTGGAGGTTTCATAGCTTCCACAACCCTGTCTTTCTGTGGGTTTATTAGTGAAGCCTGTGAGATGACAATGTGAAGGAACATTCCCTGTAAAAGCCTTGAATCTGAGCAAAACAAGTGTCACACTATATTTCTCACAACCATTTATCGGGGTTTGTCCTTTTACGTCCTGTATTGCTCCTTATTTTTTATGAATGTGCAGTTGTTTGTCCATCTCACCTCTAAGACTGTTTTCTGCTGGACCTTCACTTTGGCAGTTCTGATACCACTCTCATGTTTCCACTTAAGAGCAGCAGTTTGTTTACCTACAGATGCCACTCCAGGGTGGTATCACCCAGCACAGATGGGGTGGGCTGGGCTGCAGAAAGCCCACAGGAGCGAGCTGCTGCGACAAACAGGTCAATGCTCTTTGCTCACCTGGGCGCTCTGAAAGGACACGTGGAATGCACAAAGTATTAGAAAGGAAACGGAGAAGAAAACAGGAAGCTCTGTTCGAATCCTTTGTACAGCCACAATGGTTACAAGAGTAAACTGAAAAAAGATATACAAGGAAAGGAACAGAAAAAGGACTACAAAGATGATAATAGTTACAGAGCAGCTTTCTCACATGGGCAGGCTAACTAGAGCATACTAACTGTAACAGGACTTTCAGCTTGGCAACTACATCAGAGGGATGATATAAGCCTATGATATCATAAATGGTGTGGAAATGAAAAGAGAATTATTATTAATTGGTCTGGGATTTTTGCATATAAAAATATGGAGACTTCTACAAAAATTATCAGGCAATAGTTTCAAAGAAAATTAAAATAAATATTTTTTCAGAAAATGCATCATTACCTTTTAGAGGGTGGGAAGTCATATGAAGTCTTTAATCTGATTACCAAAATATTAGGTGGCAGTATATTGTCAAGCCTTGTTCCTTATATTTTTGCACTAAGCATCTGCTACTGACCTCTCTGAGTTTTGTCATTGTACCATAGCGATTTTTGAAAACTATCCACAGTTTTATACTCTTATCTTTTATACTCTTATCAGCTGATTCTGCTGGCTACCACAGTAGAAATAGAGAGAAAGTTGATTTTTCAAGGATTTTTTTTTCTTGGCCATATCAACACAATGAGAAAGGATAACAGAAAGATGGCCTGGTACACTGTAGTTTCTCCTTCTTCAGTGATTTGCACACTCTCCAGGACCTGTACTCATTTCCCAGCCGGAAATCACTTCGCTGATGCCTCACAGATAATGTGTGTCCATCAACAGTACTAAGTCCCTCATGTCTACTGACATAAATGGCAGAGCTCCCATTAATTTCAGTTGGTGCAGGAGTTTACCCTCAGTTTTGGTTTTACAAAACCGAAACCCCCATGATTAAGCTTTGCAAACCCTAAGTAAAACCAAAACTGCTCTCATTCAACTGCTCTGTTTTGTTATCACCCATACTTAGGCCACATGGGAACTAAAAGTCTTATAAGATATGTGATAAGTGAGAGAAATGAATGCCACGGCATTCAGGCTTTTAGTCAGAAAATCACTGCAAACAGCTTCCACTTTAATGCACTGATAAGCTGTCTGCATCAATATAGCTCATACTTTACCTGGGTTGTTACCAACTGGCTTTATTGGAGTTCTAGTTAAAGTTTTAATTGCTTTTCCACTCAACTTTTTTTTTTCTTTTTTCTTTTTTTTTTAATGCTTTTTATCCTTTTGGAAATCAGGCAAGACCCTTGAAATGCATTTTTTCTCATAAGAGAGGAAACAGCACCTACCGAAAGGAAAACATTGCCACACCTGAAAACACTAGAAATTTGTTAGAGACATAATAAATTAGTCAATTTATACAGAAAATCTTAATTATTATGGATATAGAGTAAAATACAGGTGAGTGTAAGAATGCTGAAGGTGCAAATATAGGCCATGAATTCTCTGATCTATTAAGACTGACTGTATGTAGCTAAGATGGAATAAAAATGCAGCTGAATAACCTACCATTTGCTTTGTTTTCTCCCTGAAGAGTAAATATATAAATGTTTATATTGTGACTTTCTTGTGGGCATCACTCTGTCAGTTCTTTAGTTTGCTGACTAGTGCCAGCTGCAGTAATAGCTTATAATATTTTTTTTGGATCAAAGATAAGACCAAGCACAAACATCATGCTGTGTAATGCCAAAGCACCAGCCTAAACCAGGCTTTTCTTGCAGGATTCAAGAAAATTTCCTCCCTGAGCAGGGAGGAACTGTTCCCCCAGCCATCATGGCCTTGACCACATGTTACTTATAACAGGCTATAGGTACATATGGAGGAAGCATTTGTGTTTGTATCCATTTTCTGTAATAATTCCAAAAAGCTAATCGCTTGGTTCCCCCTTGTGACTCCACTAATTCAGAAGCTGCTACTAAATATTTCAAATCAGGGTGAAGAGGGAAGAATGTGTCCACCCTGGATGGTTTCAGGGCTGCCTAGCTTATCTACATAGACTTAAAGGATGCTCCTATGAGTGACAATAATTTGCCCTCTGGGTTTGTGGCTTGCAGGGAATGACTTCACTCCACTGGGCTGCATTCCACAATAGACCCCAGCACACCCAGACTCTGCTGCACAAGGGAGCAGACCCAACTCTGGTGGACAAGGACTTCAAAACAGCTCTGCACTGGGCAGTACAGGTGAGCCACAACACAGCCCCAGTGGGATGTTTATTGAACTGAGTTGGCTATTGTGGTGTCCTAAACACTCCTAAGGAAGTGGTTTGGGCTGTGGAACAAGGAAATTGGATGCTAAAAATGCCCACTAAGCCCCAGCATTTTGCCAGTGGGTATAGATCAAGGGTCTAGCATCTTCTTTGGAGACCAAGGCATACCTAATAGAAGCTTAGCCCTGTTGACCCAAAGTTTTCATTTATCTCAAGTGGGACTACGTGTATGCTTCATGTTGAACTTATGCCTATTTTTTTTCACTAAATCAGGGTTGCAGAAACTAGCAGCTTACTTGCCAAAGGCCTTTGGGAATAAAATAGCATAAACACAAGTGAAAACATATTTAAAGAGCTACAGCTATGAAAGAATTATCTGAAGGGTTGAGACCCTACCTCTCTGGAGACTGGAGAAGACATGGAGCTAAACACATTTCCTGTTGAACTGTGTGTTTCTATCTCATGTGGAAAAGAGCATTGTCAAATACGCAGGCCATTATTAGAGAAACAAACCATACAGATTTAATATGGCATTAAAAACAGTATTATGTAATTGTGATAGTAAGTGATGTCAAATACAGCATAATTTACTGGGTTTCCTAGTTTAGTGCAGAAAACTGCCTGGATGAAATTGTATGTTTTCATGTGCTGTCTAAGCATAGCAAATTCAAGTACCAATGTTCAAAACACATGCACAACAAGTAAACCAAAATAGAACTCACACAAAAATCCAGCAACCTTTTCATGCAATTACCAAATGTTTGCATTCTCATCTTTTGGTCTAAGTTTTCTCTTCTTAAAAGAAGTGTCGGCAAGGAAATTTGAAATTCTGAACTGCCATATATGATATTTATTACAGGGTAAGGACATCTGAACAAATAATCTTCAACCACAGCCTCACAAAAATGATTAACATGTAATAGGCCTACCTTTTTTTTTTCTGAAGTATATTTTGAAGAGGTATATTTTGACCTCTGAAACTGGTAATATTTCAAAAGTTTTGTTCTTCTTTAATCAGTCTTAAATTTGACTTGTTATTTGCCTTAGAAGATTAAAGGTATCTACTCTACTACCTGTTGTGCATTTTCACCAGGCTTATTCCAGTTCTGCCTGCTTCCAGTGGGAAACATCTGAATCCCATGCCAACTTCTGCGTGATAGCCAGTGGTCTATATCATAGGTCTGGGGACAACCTGTCTGACAAGCAGAAAGACAAAAGTGAATCCACTTTATAACCCTCAGAGTTCCCCTCCTTTCCTGAGGGGAAAGCTTTCCCTGATTCTGTATTTTGTATGTTTCATTATTTAATTCCATTGTTAACTCTCACCTCCACCCTTCTCTCACAAATGTGCAGAAAAAGTCTTGAGAAATGGGGAAACGGAAACTGCACAAAACTCACTTGGCCTCAGGTGGAAGGAACTCACAAATGCCCTCTTTTCCTTTAAGCTGCTCCCGGAAATCAAGAGGAAGCGTGCAGAATGACACACATGCACCCCTTTTTTCCTTATTGTGAGATTTCTGCCGTGAAACCCTTTAAGTTACTTCTTCCTTCCACATGCTTCTCCACATTCTAAGTCCAGAAGTGGCATTTGAAATACCAGAGCATGAAATAGATTTGTTCACATTTCTACATTTCTCTTACTCAAATAAGAAAACTCTTGGCCAAGAAAACAACTTGCAGCCAGTGTTCTCTGCTGCCCATTTAGGCCCAGGAGATTTGGATACTGTGGACAGGCACAACTTTCTCTGCTGTGACAGAGCAGAACAACAGCTCTGCTTGATGGGATCATCATTATGTCTAATTGCCTCCTCTGTGACTGCTGGAAAGGAGATATTTTTCCTTTAAGAATTGTATAAATATCTTCAGAGAACAAGAGACTCACAGAGCTCAGGCAGTACAGCTGCAGGGGTTATTTTTGGCTGAATAGGGCCCTGTGTTTAATTTCTTTTTTTTTAAATGCAGTGAGGGGAAGACCAGACACTGCACAGAAACTTGTTTCAGAAGTTGCAGGAAAGAGGCACTTTGTTCACACTCGGCTGAAACACACAGTAGGACCATACGAAAATCATTGCCCACCATTGAAACCCAAATTCATGAGCATGAGGCATATTTCATATGAAATCATTGTTCTGTGCTGACTCTTTCCAAGACTGCGTGTGTGTGACTTTGTCTTCTATCAGGCATCATGGGATGATCAGTCCCATCCATGTAGCCAGACAGACCTTGCCCACAACAGGGCCTGCTCTTTTGAGAAACTCAAGTCTCCTGCCATTTCAAGTTCACATCTCAAGTGCAAATGTATCAGTGTCAAAAACACTGATCATTACTGTTTGCTGTGAGAGTATCTCATGCCACATTTTTTACACATGCATTATTTCTATGTGCTGGTGCAGACAGGCCTATTAAAAGTGTCTCGGGAGGCATTTCTCTCCTTTCACTTCAGCCAGCATTAATTACTGTAGTGAAAAGGAAACACACCTTTGAAATACAAAACTGTAACTGATACAGGGACAGAGGTAAAAGCATTCTAACAATTCTACATAATGGTATTATTGAAATCCTGGTAAAATATAATATAAAATATACCATACAGCATGGATTATGAGGCTACACAGTTCTATACTGTAACAGTATTAGTAGTACCTTGGAAACAGCTGGGAAGATTTTGAATCTTGCTACATTGCCTTGCCAGTTGTCATCATTTTTACCAGAATTTTCTTTGTCTTGTTCTCAGTCTCTGGCTCCCAAAGTCAAATGATTACGTGAAAATATCAGCTTTCTACTAAAGGATACACAAAAAAAAAAAAAAAAAAAAAAAATTTAAGTGAAGAAATACAAACCTGTAGGAATAAAAAGAATGCAACTAGAAAGAAGCTATTAAAAATAACAATCTGCCATGGGGAGACGTGCTTATGATTTTTAAATAGGCTGATTTGGAGTGCAAAGTTTTTAAAAAATTAGAAGCGCTAGTATTTGTTCCATAGCAACAATGCAGTTATTTCATTCCTCTGTTTCCAGAGAAGAGAGTGAAATACCTGTATATATAAAACACACTGTAAAAGAAATGCATAAGTAAGTATTAATTTGTGTTTGGTTGGCCAAGCACCGCAGTTTCTCTGTAATTGGTTGGAAGATGAAAGCACACTTAAATTCCAGGATTTCTAGGAAAGAATGTCTCTGTTGCTGCAGGACATCTTGAGGACACAGCTGGCTATCCAGCCAGAGCAGAGGAAGGGGCCAGAGAAATGAGTCATGGCTCAGAATCTCTCCCAAGGGATCACTTCTCTCCTTGTCTCTGCCCATCACCCATTTTTTCATGTGGGCTATATACAGTGGAAGAATTCAGAGAGACTTCCAAAGCCACCTTAAAACCCAGTGAGTGTTTCTCTACTGCAGATATGTCTGTTGTTGGACTGACCAGAAAAGGTGCATTTGCTGGGCATGGTTCACTGTCTAGTTGGTTTCAGGCAGATTTCTTTCCCTGCAAAGTTGTACTTTATTTCTCCTTGTTTCATGCAGTTTTCTAAAGATGGCTTGAAAGGAGGAATAGCGATTTCCTTTTTTTATGTCACTAAGCTTTAAAGACATTTTTGACTGTTAACAAACAAGTCAAAAAGATATTCAAGTTTCATTTTTTAAATATACACTTTTAAAATCACCTTCTTTTGTAAATATTGTCATTCTAGCAATGGTACAACTCTTGCTTGTGGAGCCTGGAACATTACATAGAAGCAGGCATCTACAGAGTGAGCTGTCAAGTTGCAAAACAAGATAGAAGAATTTGCAAATAGTTTTGAGTAAGAAATAAACTTGCTTTAATACCAGCAGAAGTTTTTTCCATTAAGTGCCCTAAATATTTGTGACACTGTCTACAAAAGTGAATTAAATGTGCTTGAGTCTTGGCTCTGGCACTGAGACAAACTATCATGGGACAACCTGTGTCCCTACTGCTATACTCTCTTACTCAAGCAGGATGGTCATACACAGACCACTTACTGGCAATGATCTGGTACTCATTTTACCTCCAGGAACTGGTAGGGAAAGTATTCATTGACCCAGGCCTAAACAATGCCAGAGAGGATTTTGAGAATTATTTGGTACAGACAGCTAAATTCCAGTGCTGATGGATATTCCTAAGTGCTGCTTCATTTTTTAAGTAGCTGCAAACTATTTCTTCATTTTAAGTTGTCACAGAATAAGCTGAGTTGGAAGAGACTCACAAGGATTGAGTCTAACTCCTGGCTCTGCACAGGTCACCCCAAGAGTCACACTGTGCCTGAGAGCATTATCCAAACTCTTCTTGAACTCTGGCAGGATGGTGCTGTGACTACTTCCCTGGGAAGCCTGTTCCAGTGCCCAAACTCCCACTGGTAAAGAAACTTTTCCTGATATCCAACCTAAACCTCCCAACACAGCTTCAGGCCATTCCTTTGGATCATGTCACTGGTCACCACAGAGAAAGAGGCCTGTCTGCCCCTCCTCTTCCCCTCATAAGGAAGTTGTAACTGCACTGAGGTCTTCCCTCATCTCCTCCAGGTTGAACAGAGCAGGTGACCTCAGCTGTTCCTTATACAGCTTTCTTGAAGTCCATTCACCATCTTCAGTGCCGTCCTTTGGGTGCTCTCTAATAGTTTATTAACTTAGTTATACTGTGATACCCAGAAGTCCCCCCAGCACCTCATTCAAGGTGAGGCTGCCCCAGTGCAGAGCAGAGCAGGACAATCCCCTCCCTTGCCTGGCTGGTGATGCTGTCCCTGATGCCCCCAGGACACGCTTGGCCCTCCTGGCTGCCAGGGCACTGCTGGCTCATGTTCAACTTGCCATGGACCAGAGCCCCAGGGCCCTTTCCATGGCACTGCTGTGCAGCCTCTCATCCCCCAGTCTGTCTGTACATCCAGGGCTGCCCCATCCCAGGGGCATAATTCAGCACTTTGCTGCGTTGAAACTGCATGGTTGATGGTTGCCTATCTCTCT